TGAGTAAGCACTATATCTCTATATAGCTTATCTTGTTGTTTGTGCTTTTGTCCCCCTTTTAATCCCTAATCTCTAGAAAAGGTTCTCTTTTCATTTTCCAGCTTAGTTTCAGCAGTGCTGTGAGAAATTAAGGAAAGGGTCACTTGGCCATGTTTGGGCTGTGTTAAAGGGAGCAGCGCCTCATGAAGCACTACCATTCAGGGAGGGATTCCCAAGCAGGAGGTGAATCTCAGGGAATAAAATTCAGGGTGAGAAGTCAAGCTGTGTTTTCCAATGTGGAGACTCTTCCCTCCACTGCCATTCTTGCTTTGTTGTTGTTAGGTGCCATTGAGTCTGCTTCAACTCATAGTGACCCCATGTGACAGAGTAGAACTGTCGCATAGGGTTTTCTAGGCTGTAATTTTTACAGGAGATCACCAGGTCTTTCTTCCATGGAGCCACTGGGTCGGTTTGAACCACCAACCTTTTGGTGCTTAACCATTGCACCACCAGAGCTCCTTACTCTTGCTTTAGAATTTGATTTTATAAAGGAGCAGACAGTGCTTCCTTAAGCATACTTGAAACCATGCACCAAGACTTTTTCACCTCTCTGTAATACCCTGCACTTCTTCTAATCTTCTTCTCTCCAAGAAAAGCATCTTCAGTTCTTAGAAAATGTTTTTCACTCCCAAAATTTCCCTGTTGTTTACCATATTGATCGGTCTCTTTGGGACACGCCTTAGTCTGACAACCGTAAGTTTTACATGTTTTATATAAGGAGTCTCTCGACTACAGTGTAGTTTGGGAGACATGCCAGGATTACAGGAACATTAAGCAAAACTAATTGAACCCTATTTATTACCAAGGTTGAGCCATTTGCAGTGACATTTCTGTTTGGGCTACACTAGAGTACATGCTATTTCCCCAGTGCACCAGATCCTCCGGCCTCTGTGCAGTGGCTCAGGCTGGGCTCTCTGCCTAAAGTGTTACCTCCATCATGCTTGCCTTCCCAGTTATATTCTTCTCATCTTTCAATATCACATTTTCTCTGAACCCCTCCCTCCCAGCCTTCCCTAAAGTACCTCTCCCATAGCACCCACTTGTCCAGGCTTCTACTCTAACAGTTATTACTACTGTAGCAGCTATGGTTTTATAGCTCTTTTGGTTTGTATCTGTCTTCCCCCAGTAGCTTGTAAATTCCATAAAGACAAGTACTTTCATTCTTTTTTGTGTACGTAAACTGAGTATAGTTAATATGTGCTAGTTAGAAAGTGCTCAATAAATATTTGTTGAATGGGCAAATGAATTGATGAATGTGTTTCATTATTGAGTGTCTGTCTTAACCTGAAGTTCTAATAAAGCAAGTCCTTCTTTGAACACTGAGCTCTTATATTTACAGTGCATATAAGCATGGTTGTTGTCTAATACCTTGAGTTTGAAAGGTAACGATTCGGTCATTTATTTGAAATGATGATGTGTATAGGAGTACGTAGAATTTAGGCAAGAAAATAATTATCTGGGATGTTTTTGGTTTTGGACTCTTTGTTTCTATTTTGAAGGCTGTTTTGCCATTTGACATGATAAACTGTCAGAACAAACACATTTGCTTAGGGCAGGTGGGTTGGTTTAACTTGTCATCTTAGTGTCAGTGTGGCCCAGATATCTGGAAAAACTAATGATTTCAGAAGTCAAAAATGTAAATATACAGTTCTTTTATCTTTCCTGGGTTCTGGGGCAAGTTAATCAAGATTCCTAACTCTGATAACTTTATTCTTGAAACACTTGGAGCCCTGCCTTATGTAGAAAAGTTGGCACATTAATTGTGATGCTCAGTAAAATGTCACGTGGATAAAATATTTAGTAAACATCATCTGGTAATCTAAAAAGTAGCAATACCATCTCAGCCACTAGTCATAAATTAGATTTTTTTTTCCCTCTGAATTCATGTATGTTAACCAATGTGTGGTACCTGCTGTGTGTAAAACAATTTATTTTCCAAGTAATTTACTGAGTGCCTGCTACCCCATCTGCCAGAAGTTCAGGGTGACTCAACTCAGGAAATACAGGGTGAATGAGACAAAGCCTTGGCCATCAGTGAGCTCATATGCCAGTGGGAAGATTAGAAGTCTAATGTAAATTCCATAAGAAAGATACCGAGTATGCTTGGGAGGAACAGTGAAGACATCTTGAAGCAAGTGGCATTCCATATGGGTAAGATGTCAATAGGCAGATTGTGACAATTGCACCCTTTCCAATTACATGAAGCAGAGATGTGCTCTATCTCAAGTTACTCAGTTAGTGAGGTTTACTGTAAGGCAAGTAGGAAGTAGAAAGAACAGGAAAGCAGTCTCAGCAGCTTCCCAGGGAGGCCTCATGGTGCATCATTGGAACACTGGCTCTGGTAACATGAGAGTCCCTCTAACATCAGAAGTGAATGTCTGTGTTCCCTACTCCAGTGATCTGCCACGGTGGCCACTCAGCTCTACTTAGTCACTCAGCCTCTTTAGTATCAAAAAGTCAGTATTCAGACAGTCCGGGTGCAGTCTCTGAATACCAGTGTTGTTGGGGTTGGCTGTTAGTCCTTTAATTTTTCTGGCTCAAAGCAAATAGTTATATTAATGTTTTCAGTGAGAGACAGTAAGCAGTCAGGTATGGATTTATTCATCCTCACTTGAGAGCTTTCTGGGCAACTCCTTTCACAGTTTGTCACTAAGTCTATGTTGTTGGTGAGGATTGGCATGTAGAATCTGCTATAAGACTTCGTTGTTGATTTAGAGAAGTGAGAAGCCAAAGTCCCTGGTGTGGACACCAAATGTCAGTTTCTTTATAACTCTGGTACCTTAAGAGAGTCACACATTTCAGATTGTCTTCATTAGAGATCCACAGATGTGATAGTTCAGCACTTGGTCACAAAGATCCTTGGACCGTTAATGTCTGGCATTCATAGCGTGAATCCCAGTTTCAAAGCATATTTTCTTCTATTCATTTCATAAGCGTAAGACTGACATAAAACCAACAAGGTCTTTTTTTTTTTTTAATTAAATGATTCTGCAGTCCAGTGATTTAGAATTATGAGTAGTGTCTAATGGAAGAGAACTGAATTAAATATTTAGGTCCTTGTGACAAAATGGGAAATTTCTTCCCCCTTTCATTGATTACATTCAAAAAGAAGGCTCCATATGATATTTACATCTATTCTTCATTGTTCAGCAGCATGAGGAATAAACATTTTATATTGGTTTATTATCTGGAGCTCATCCACTTCAACTTGTTCTACTTATTTTAAAAATTACTTGTTTTAATGTTAATCATTAGAAAAGACGGGATATTTTAAATGATTGATTAATAACATCCATTTTTTTTCTTTTTTTTTTTTGGTAAAGCAAAGTGTCTCCCAATTTATGTTAGGACTTTCAAAATTCACTTTATATTGGTAACCACGTAGAATTTTGACTTTCTGGATAGTTACTATGTGACCTTTTTTTTACTTCTACATTTAAAATTTTTAATTGCCAAGGAAGGAATGATGTTTAGTTTGAGGAATTATTTTGGCACGGTGAAAAGAATGCTGGCCTTTAAACCAGACTGAGTTAGGTTTAAATCCTTCCTTAGTGTGTACTTGCTGTGTGACCTTGAGCAAGTTATTTAACCTCTCTGAGGCTTAGTTTCCTCATCTAGAAACTTGTGATGTCCATACCTGTTTTGCAGCATTATTTTGAGAATTAAATAAATAATGCGTGTAATGCAGTCAGTCCAGACATTATTATATAACAGAATTTTAAAAAATAAATACACATAAAGATTTTTTTAATCTTATGACAAAATGCCATTGTGTTTTGATATAAAATTATAAAAAGCAAAAGTACTTTTGTTATTTTATGTTTGCATAGGAAGAACATTATCTATTCTTGATGTAAGTGAAAACTAGTGTTCTGAGTTGTAAACAGAACAGCTGTGGTTGTAATTACTGTTTGATTAATCCATGTATTGGAACCACTATTATTTAAAAAAAAAAAAAAAGATTTTCCAAAAAAGTAAGTAGTGATATTGTATATAGTTTACTAAAATAAGTTCTAACTATCCTTCAAAATGTAGTCAGTAAGTTTACTTACATTACAGTGAAGTAATAATGCAGAAGCACAGAGAAGAATAGTCAGTTATCAGCCTTCTTGAAAATTAGATGTTATGTTAATTCATTTATATCAGGCAGGGCTGGGAAACTCAAATTATGCACATATATTTTTAGAGCATGAAGACTGGAAATACTGTGTAAGAATGTGATACTCCACTGTCACTCAAAACAAATCATTACAGAAAATATCTTTCATCCAGGGACCAAATAGAAGACAAATATTTTCAACAAATATACACGAGCTCTTTCTCTTTCTCACATACCTCTACACAGTAAACATATGAAGACCTGTTATACCTGCCACAGCGTCACCATCCTGATTGATTTCTAATAATAGAATCCTTTTGCATTATTTTACTATTAACCTCTCTTAGACTGATGGCAAACCAGGGGTATCTGTCATTTTAGCTGCTGCCTAATGTTGGTAGAGCAGTTTGTTTGCTAGTGTGTTTTTCATTTGGTAAAGCATCTGTGAGGCCTTCATTTTATAACAGTGAATCAAGTTATTGGTAAGAAGAGTGATGGTAATGCCTGGGAAACTGGTTCAAGGGAATGGTGAGTTAAAGGGCAGCCTGAGTATGTGGATTTGAGGCATTGCATGCTTCAGGTTTTACTCTGCTTCAATCTGGGAGGTTTTTTTTAAGGCTGAATTGATTTCCAGAATGCCCCAAGTGTTTATTTCCAGTATAGTTTTGCCAAAGCAATTCTCTCCTCGTTTAATAGCAAAATATTTATATCTTACTGTAGTTTTGGTCTTATAGAGGGAGAGACATTAAAAATGTGGGCAGATTATAACCTTTTAGCTAATTTCCCCATACACCACCATTCTTGTTCTTTTAGACAATTACAGGGTATCTGTCGGTACTGAATTTTACTTTTCCTTACACAGATCCAGTGCCCCACGTGCCAGTTTGTCTGGTGTTTTAAGTGCCACTCTCCTTGGCATGAAGGTGTCAACTGCAAGGAGTACAAAAAAGGAGATAAGTTATTGCGCCACTGGGCCAGCGAAATTGAGCATGGGCAGAGGAATGCCCAGAAGTGTCCAAAGTGCAAGGTAAGCTAACCTTTAGGAAGAAAAGAGAGAAATGTGTACATCTGGCTATCACTGAACAGTGATTTCTACAATACTGAAGTGAATTATGTTTATAACTTTCTCAATGCATGTGCAGGAGAAAAAGAATATTTGCTGCTCATTTTAGAAGAAAGCAATTATATATTTTAAAGCTAAAATGAAGATTATATATATCAACAAGGTATATTTTTATTATTTGCATTTCATTTCAAAGTTAAGGGGGCCACATGTGAATATTGATTTAAAGTATCAAAATCTGTGTTTTCCATTTTTAAATGGAGATGTGTGTACAGGGAGAACCTAGTATGAAAATTATTTTAAAGTATTATTTCTAGCTCGCAACATGCACTATAACCAATTCTCGATTATGCAGGCTCTGAATCCTTGCAATCTCTTGCTTTTCTTTCTCCTCTGCCTTTGCTTATCACTTTAGGATGAAATTAAATTAAACTGATGATTTTGCTTTTTGTGAATCTGGTGAGGTAGAAGCTAACAGCTAAAATCAGGACTTAAGGATTTTATGAATCCCATTTTATCTTCACAATCACACAAGATTATCAAGAAGTACCATTTGAGCTGAGACCTGGATGTTGAAATATTAGACATGGAAGAGAGTTTCCCATCAACAGATTAGCAAGTAAATCAGCCAGAAAAATTTAGATTTGATGCTTACAGGGTAGGGATCTGTTGAAATTTGAAGTCTTTTTTAAAGCTCACTTTAGAAAGTTATATATGTATATGTACACTCTTCCATGTGTGAATTCCAGTTTTTTCCAAATATACTTTTGGAACTGATGTCTGAATTAGACCTAGTTTTCCATTAAGAATGATTTTATAATTCTTTCCTGGAGACTTTAGCCACCAAATCAATGAAATTTGAATTACCAGAATTTTTTTTAAAAAATTAATAATCGTGACTCCAAAATAACTTGAAACTGTGAAAGTATATTCTGAAGCCTATTAATGAGCGTAAATATAATGTCCAAATTCACTATACCAAATTCATGAACTAGTTCATACATATGTTGTTGTTGTTAGTTGCCGTGGAATTAATTCCGACTCATGGTGACCCCATGTGTGCAGAATAAAACTGCTCCATAGGATTTTCAAAGCTGTCACCTTTTGGAAGCAGATCACCAGGTCTGTCTTTGGAGGCACCTCTGCATGGGTTTGAACCACCAACCTTTCAGCTAGTAGTGGAGCCCTTAGCCATTTAAGCCACCCAAGGACTCCAGTTCTTCCACATAAAAAACCAAACCAAACCCGTTGCCATCTAGTCGATTCTGACTCATAGCAAGCCAAAAGGACAGAGTAGAAGTGCCCCATAGAGTTTCCAAGGAGCGGCTGGTGGATTTGAACTGGCGGATAACCTTTTGGTTATCCACCTAGCTCTTAACCATTCTGCCACCAGAGCTTCCAGAACAACCTGACTTACACATAGTATGTTAAAAAAAAAAGTTTTTTTCTAAAACAGCATGTTGCCTTCTTAACAATTGGAAGGAATTTTTGAAATAGTTTAGATGACTGGACTTTCTTAAAAATGGTGTCCAACGATGTTTTAGCTAAAACTTTCTTTGTTTTCCCATCCACAATTACCCTTTTTATCTTAGGGCTGCTTCAGATCACCCCACACATTGCTCAGCACACTTATTTTTCATCCCACTGAAGAACAATTGAAAAATGAGGCCTTTTCCCCTTTCTCTTACCTTTTCAGTTTATTCAAAGCTACTGCTCAGTTTCAGAACAAATAAAGGCCACTAGGAATTTATGAGTGTTGTTGAGTCATTGTACTTAACACTTTGTTCACAAGTATGCTTTGTATCTCTTTGGAAAGCTGTAAGAACAATTATCGGTTAGCCTGGCTCCAAGATTGTATACTGAATAAATGATACCGCAACATTATACACTGAAGAAATTCTGAATGAATTGAGGTGATACATAAAAACATACATTTATTACTGTAATCCCATCCTCTAATCTTAAACGGGCTCTGATGTATAAAAAGAAAAAAACAGCCAAAAATTTACTAAATGCACTAATAATATTCCCCAGTTTTAACAAATATAGATAAACAGTTAAGAGAAAGCATACATGCTGATATCCTTGTGAAGTAATAGCTAAAATGTAGGGGGTTTTTAAAGGGATTACCTTTTAAATCGCTGAAAGGAAAGGAACTACAGAGTTAGTTTACATTACTCTGTTGAAACAAGAGAAGCTGCTTTCTAGTGGGATTCAGTTTTCATATGATTTTTTGACTTGTTTTGAGACAAATGGTTTAGTTTTTGTTTTCTTTTCCTTTTCTTTGCACATAACTTTAAAGCTTTGCATTTTTATGACTTTTTCTTGTTCTTGGACCTTAAGATTATATCTTCCCCAAGAAAAATTTTTATTCTTATAGTTGAAATCATGAGGAAATATTATTCAATGAATTTTTTGTTTTATACTCCAAGTCTTATCTGTCCTTGTACAAATAAATCCTTTAAAATTTGTAAATATAAAAATGGGAGAGGCCAAGAGTGTGTGAAAAAGAATAAGATAAAAATTTCGTACATAATGCCTCCATGCTAACCAAACAATCATCATGTATTTTCATATGAATATATTTTCCATATTCGATAACGATAGTCAAATGTGTTTAGAATTTTGTTGTAACCAAAGTATATTTGTTTTTTTGTATCCCACTTAGATTATACTATATTTGTTTAGATTGACTCATAATTTTAATAGTTATTTTGATTTTTTAAATGACTGTTTTGTTTATAAAGGTCACATAACAAGTAATAGAAATCTGGGAGAGAAAAAAAAAAAAAATCACCCAGAATCCTGCCCCTCCAGTATGCTCACAGTTAGCATATTAGTGTGTCTCCTCTGTCTTTCCCCTACTTAAATGACATTTTAAAAAAGTTTAATTATAGCATGCAGATCATTTGACACTTTGTTTTTACACTCAACATTTCAAACATTTCTGAATAGTTACTGAATAGTTTTCATAACCTTTCTTTAATTGACCGTGTAGTATTTGCTAAAATATCCTTCTGCTATTAGATACCAAGGCTGACTTAGACTGAGTTTGAGTTTCTTTAAAAACTATATAGATATTACAAATAATGCATTGGTGATATTCATCCTGAGTATATCTTTTTTTCCATATTTTGGACTTTTGAAAGTGAATAGTTCTGAAGTTGGAATCACTGGGTTAAAGGATATAAATGTTTTTAGCATTTGGCACATACTGTCAATTTGCTTTCTGAAAGAATTAAAACAGTTTATAATTCTACCAGAAAAATTGGTGAACCTGTTTCCTTATGAGTGTTTGTTATTAGTATTTTAAATAATTTTCAAATGCTAATTTAAAAGTTCAGAAATACTTTTTGTCTCCTGTTTTGCATTTCTCATTTCTTTTTTGCTTGTAGACTGAATATAATTCCGTGTATTTTTATTTCATCAAATATATCATCTTCTTCCTTTTTTGGACACACATCTTTTATATCTCTATACATATCTTTTATATATAGTATATTTTATAAATAGTTTGCTTCTAAGCTTAAAAAGTCATCTATCATCTAGAAATTTGACAAGGAGTTCTGTTTTCTTCCTTTCTTTTAAATATTTGATTTCTAAATATTTAACTCTTTAATCCACTCATAATTTATTTTGGTGCATATTAATGTTTTGGATGCCTAAACTAATTTTTTTTTCCAAATTGAAATCAGCCAATACAATCATTTTCATTAAAAATCCTCCCCCTACTCATTGATTTGTGATTTTTCTCTAAACCCATGCTAAAGTATAATGTATAATAGTCTCTTCTGAGCTTTCTAATCTTACTGCTGAGTTTTTAAGAAAACTTTGTCCTTGTTCTGGGAGTGTTAAATGATTGTGCCTTTGTAACATTTGCCATCCAAGTAAGGTTTAATAACATTATTTTGGTATCCTAGACACTTTCTTTTTTTTTGCTTATAAATGTTACTCCTTCCTTAATGAGTTTTTACATTTTTTTTTAAAGTGGAAAGACCAGTTTAATACAAAGTATAGTGTCATGAAGAGATTTGACTTGTTCTGGAAAATCTAAATTATTTATAATTGAATTTTGGCAGATACCCAGAATGAGTATTAAAATTTTTTTGCCTCCCATTTCTAATCAAGATACTTGCTCTGAAGTGCGATTTTTATTATACTGAGGTAAAAATATACAGACATTTCTGGAAGTTATTTATATAACATTTTAATGAAAATTTAATAGTGGCATATTAAGATCAACTTTATTTAGCCATTTTTATTTGAATCACATTTCTTCTTCATGCATGGTATTCTTTAGTCATTTGTGAGACACCATGTTTTAATTTTAAAAATGAGTTTTCTACTTTATATAAATTCATAACCTACAGAAAATAAGTGTTATTTTTGCAGTGTCTTCTTGAGTTCAGTTATTACAAAAAGAAAAACCTAGTTTGTGATAATTTTAAGTTTAAATTAAATTTAAAGCAAACAGACTTTAAAGTTTGCTGGAGATATTAGAAGATTTGTTTAGTTTCATGTAAAAATTTATTTGAGACTATTTTATATAGCACAGACTGAATACTAAAAGCTGAGTTAATAAAAAAAAGAATTGCCAACTAAAAGAAAATGAAAAGTGAAATCCCACCTAGAAATAAAAACAGGCTTATACAATATAAAACAAGTAAACACAGTTGTAAAGCAATTCCACATGTATATGCACTTTAGATTTAAATTGTTTGTGAAGTTATTTTTACTTTGTGAAAACAATTACAAGGGCCAAATATTGCTTTTTTTTGTTTGTTTTTTCATATGAAAGCTTAAAAATCATAAACCGTTTTAAAATTTATACTCATTTTGGTCTTTATATGGTAGAATAATATACCACTAACCAAATAAAAGGCAAAAAAAAACAAAAAACAAAATAATCAATTGTTTTCCTTATTTTTTTTATAGAAAGTGACTGCCACTTGTAATTTTATTGT